ACAACCAAGTGGTATGTTTGTAAAATAGCACTTTGTCAATACGGGGTGTATGAAGTGTTTTACCCGGGTTGGCCATCATCAGGAACATCAATATAAAAGTATATACTTATAGCAAGTGTTCTACGACTAATCTTTCTGTACTAGCTGTTAACTAGTTCCCTGTTAATGAACTATTATCAATTTTGTGTAACAAAGCATACAAAATTAATGGAATTAACTATTTTTGGAGTGTCAAAAAAATCTTTGGATGTTTTTGATACTGATGGTCTGTTCAATTCAGTTGACATTTATGATTTTTCGACTCTGAACACTACATTATAACACGATTTTGTTAAACAGTATTTCTCTCATTTAATTGAATGGGCCTTTGAAAACTCATATAAATGATTCTTCTGTAATGAAAAAGGTAAATTTTCTAGATATATTTACTGTAACTGCAATGCTTCATTCCAAACCCAATTCACATGCAGCTGTGCATATATTTGTGTACATGTACTTTAATATAGGGCACACATGGGCACTGACTAGGATGTAATTGGGCTTGCATGTATTTTCTTGCAATCTCTTGAAAAATCATACATAAACATTTAGAATTAGTAGAAATTAGTGCTTTTAAATTGTGGTTAAAAGTACCCCCCATCTTTCCTTATAATACATAACACATTAATGGAACAGTTATTTTGCACACTGCTGAAGCATGTTTTATTTGAAAACTATATACAGATATATATCTACCTGTTTGTGTACACATGTTTATTATGGATTCAGTTTCTTCATGTTCCTGACAATCTTTCAAGCTAAAAGGATCCAAAATCTTCATCTGCATAATAAAAAAAAACATAAGTCCAAATTAAAATATATGTGTGGTTCCAGTTACATTCTCAAAAAAAGATAGGGTCGGTGTGTTCACGGAGTCCGATTCTGGTATTATACACTATATATCATATATTATATGTTTGGTTGTGAAATAACAGACATGTTACGTTTTTAGTTAATTTTGTTGCATTCTGTTAAGAATTTGTTGCATTTTTAGCCGTAGTGGATACTTTTATTGGAAATTCATATGACAGAAGTCTTTGAATTTAATTATTGAAGTTCACATTCCATAAAATGGGATCATTCAAAATTTATTTTACAGAATGAAAAAAAAGTTCTAGGGTGGGTCTGGTAACTGGAACCACATATATATTTTCATTATACCCCACGCAACGAGTTGCGGAGGGTATAATGTTTTTGACCCCTCTGTCCGTCCGTCTGTCAGTACCTCAGTCCGTCAGTCCTGTTTCTTGTCATCGCAACTCCTCTCAAACCACACAACAGAATTTCACGAAACCTTTTTAGATAATAAGGACATACTATGTAGTTGTGCATATCGACAGGAAATTGCGATTCAATTTTTTTTCTAGGAGTTACGCCCCTTTGAACTTATTTACTTTAATGTACTACTGCAACAGTTTGTCATCGCAACTCGCAATTGCAGCTGTAGTTTCGTTTTGTTTTCGTCTTTGCAAAGTTCGTTTTCTTCTAAAGTAGATATTGGAATTTTTTATATTTTTAACGGACTCGGATATTTGCCAATCTTAATAAAATCATTTATGGTGCTATCATTACGTGTTAAGATTATTTATACTAATTTTTATGAAAAAGTCACCGATGAAATTTTTAAAAATAAGATAAATATACAGCAAAAAAAAAATCCGTTTTTTTTTCTAAAATCCTGAAACTTTGATAAAAATTAATTAATTCCAAAGAATTGTTATACAATTTTAGAACATACTTATGTAAAGAAGGTTTTCCAAATGTTTATTTTTTTTTACAAAAATGCGCTTGTGTTTATCTTTTGAAACAAAAAAAGTTAGGTATGCCTTTCAAAAGGATAGTATTGACAGTATTGTCCACAAAACCGAAATTTTGTGCAAATGTTTAAAACTTTGACCCTATTTATCTCTTAAAGTAGCACATGAAGGTATATTTTTTATTACATATTTGAATTGACTAGGTGTAAATTAGCTTGTATGCAAATTTTCGTAAAAAAATTACCGTGAGATTAAAACTGTATTGTATGCCCTTATACAGGATACAAAATAATCCCAAAGCATATATGTCACACTCACAGGTCAAATTTATTCGTTCATTATGTGTTAATTTACGTTTTTTGATTGAGTTAAGCCTTCCGATTGATATTTTATAGTGTATTTTTCTATGTTGTGATGTTATACTATTGTTTCAGAAAAGGGAGAAGGTTTGGTACCATTAAAACGTTTAATCTCGCTGCAAATGTTTGCACCTGTCCTAAGTCAGGAATCTGATTACAGTAGTTGTCATCTGTTTATGTAGTTCATACACGTTTCTTGTATTTATATAGATTAGACCGTTGGTTTTTCCGTTTGAATGGTTTTACACTAGTAATTTTTTGGGGCCCTTTATAGCTTGCTGTTCGGTGTGAGCCAATGCTCCGTGTTGAAGGTTGTACCTTGACCTATAATGGTTTACTTTTATAAATTGTCACTTGGATGGAGAGTTGTCTCATTGGCACTCATACCACATCTTCCTATATCTATATAGAGATAGACATGTAACCCATTCCTTAATTCAAACCGTTTTGACGGGTTTATAAGGACTCAAAATATTTCTATTCTGGACAGCGGTCACTTCATTGGAAATTTCACTGTTTCACGTGAAATTAATCCACAGGTACAATGCATAACAATGGACAAAGCCTGTTCAACTACTTTTACAAGGCGAAAAAGAAAGTCGAATCGTGAAGCCAGTAAACAATATTTTTTTAATCTGAGCATGCAATTTGAAGATTATGTTATATATTTTACATTAAACACATTCGCTGAACAAAAACATTTATTATGTGAGTCCCAGACACTATATTAGTTGACAGTTTTTCCACTAACTTCACTTGTTTTTAAGCGGTAGTAAACTTGTAGTAGCCCACAATGCATTGTAGTTCATTGAGTCAATTGGTCAGTTTTTCAAGGCCATGTTTACCTTCTATTTCGGAAATTACTATGCAAATATATTCTGACGTCAGGAAATCTAGAGTTCCCGACCTATTAAAAGTATAATAAAACTGAAAAATGTTGACTCAATCAGCTGCACAAGAATCAAAACAAAGAAAAGGGAAGGTCATGATGTAACTTCAAGACAACTTCCTTCCTCGGGATATCACTTACTAATGGCAGTCGTGAAACGGAGAAGTTTAAACAAATACGCCAGGCTGGTTTAAATGAACTAAAATGTAATTTCACCTGGCAGACCAATCATATCAAAGTGTGGTTCCTGAACTTATCGGCCATTATTTTCTTATACCTATCAAAGTACGGTATAGAGAAAAAATATATTGTACGCTCAATATACATTTTGTGTCCTCAATATAATTATATGGTGTGCATAAATTTTTATTTTTTGTGCTCAATGCAAATATATTGTACGCACAAATAGTGCACACAAATAATTATTTTGTGCGATCTATTTAATATCATATTGTGTGCTTGATATAGCTATATTATGCGCACCATATAATACATTGTGCGCTCAAATTCTTAGAATTTTCACGAGATATGCTGCTCTTATGTATACTGTTCAGTCAGAATGAAGTATTTTATATTATAGGATTAAACGCCTTTTTAAAGGAATTTATTGGTGTATAAACTCAACCAATTCACTCACAAACACGAAAAAAGTCCATATAATTATATTGAGCACACAAAATGTATATTGCGCGTCGGGATTAATTTTCACAAAGAACGCTCAGAATAGATATTTGAAAGTTAAGGATATATATATATATATACAAATCATCCAAAATACCAATTCTGCGTGCATGTTCCACGTCAGGTGCCTCTAACTCAGTGGTTGTCGTTGGTTGCTGCCTGACATATTTTTTTCGTTTATTGATCCAGCATGAATGAAGCTGTAAGTTTCCTCCGTTGAACTGTTTCCACTTTGTCATGTCAGGACCATTTATAGCTTACTTCACGATATTTTTAAGCCCGTACAATGATCTATTGTTGATCACATCAAATTTCTTTAGTTTCCTATGAATAGTTGTCTCATTGGCAATCATACCACATCTCTCCTTACTAGTATTTGTATATAAAGGTTTACTTTGTCTAAGGAAATTTGAACTTCATTTTCTTAATCATTTCAATATTGATCGACGAAAAAAGAAATGAATGTTGTACTAGTAACTAATGTTATTGACTACTTGGTCTTGTGACAACCTCGTGATTAACATTTCATAAGCAGCGGCAACAACCAAGTGGTATGTTTGTAAAATAGCACTTTGTCAATACGGGGTGTATGAAGTGTTTTACCCGGGTTGGCCATCATCAGGAACATCAATATAAAAGTATATACTTATAGCAAGTGTTCTACGACTAATCTTTCTGTACTAGCTGTTAACTAGTTCCCTGTTAATGAACTATTATCAATTTTGTGTAACAAAGCATACAAAATTAATGGAATTAACTATTTTTGGAGTGTCAAAAAAATCTTTGGATGTTTTTGATACTGATGGTCTGTTCAATTCAGTTGACATTTATGATTTTTCGACTCTGAACACTACATTATAACACGATTTTGTTAAACAGTATTTCTCTCATTTAATTGAATGGGCCTTTGAAAACTCATATAAATGATTCTTCTGTAATGAAAAAGGTAAATTTTCTAGATATATTTACTGTAACTGCAATGCTTCATTCCAAACCCAATTCACATGCAGCTGTGCATATATTTGTGTACATGTACTTTAATATAGGGCACACATGGGCACTGACTAGGATGTAATTGGGCTTGCATGTATTTTCTTGCAATCTCTTGAAAAATCATACATAAACATTTAGAATTAGTAGAAATTAGTGCTTTTAAATTGTGGTTAAAAGTACCCCCCATCTTTCCTTATAATACATAACACATTAATGGAACAGTTATTTTGCACACTGCTGAAGCATGTTTTATTTGAAAACTATATACAGATATATATCTACCTGTTTGTGTACACATGTTTATTATGGATTCAGTTTCTTCATGTTCCTGACAATCTTTCAAGCTAAAAGGATCCAAAATCTTCATCTGCATAATAAAAAAAAACATAAGTCCAAATTAAAATATATGTGTGGTTCCAGTTACATTCTCAAAAAAAGATAGGGTCGGTGTGTTCACGGAGTCCGATTCTGGTATTATACACTATATATCATATATTATATGTTTGGTTGTGAAATAACAGACATGTTACGTTTTTAGTTAATTTTGTTGCATTCTGTTAAGAATTTGTTGCATTTTTAGCCGTAGTGGATACTTTTATTGGAAATTCATATGACAGAAGTCTTTGAATTTAATTATTGAAGTTCACATTCCATAAAATGGGATCATTCAAAATTTATTTTACAGAATGAAAAAAAAGTTCTAGGGTGGGTCTGGTAACTGGAACCACATATATATTTTCATTATACCCCACGCAACGAGTTGCGGAGGGTATAATGTTTTTGACCCCTCTGTCCGTCCGTCTGTCAGTACCTCAGTCCGTCAGTCCTGTTTCTTGTCATCGCAACTCCTCTCAAACCACACAACAGAATTTCACGAAACCTTTTTAGATAATAAGGACATACTATGTAGTTGTGCATATCGACAGGAAATTGCGATTCAATTTTTTTTCTAGGAGTTACGCCCCTTTGAACTTATTTACTTTAATGTACTACTGCAACAGTTTGTCATCGCAACTCCTCTGATACCACACAACAGAATTTCATGAAACCTTTTTAGATAATAAGGACATACTATGTAGATGTGCATATCGACAGGAAATTACGGTTCAATTTTTTTTCTAGGAGTTACGCCCCTTTGAACTTATTTGCTTCAATGTACTATGCAACAGTTTGTCATCGCAACTCCTCTGATACCACACAACAGAATTTCATGAAACCTTTTTAGATAATAAGGACATACTATGTAGATGTGCATATCGACAGGAAATTACGGTTCAATTTTTTTTCTAGGAGTTACGCCCCTTTGAACTTATTTACTTTAATGTACTACTGCAACAGTTTGTCATCGCAACTCCTCTGATACCACACAACAGAATTTCATGAAACCTTTTTAGATAATAAGGACATACTATGTAGATGTGCATATCGACAGGAAATTATGATTCAATATTTTTTCTAGGAGTTACGCCCCTTTGAACTTATTTGCTTCAATGTCTTCTGCAACAGTTTTTCATCGCAACTCCTCTGAAACCACATAACATAATTTCATGAAACTTTGTAGATAATAAGGACATACTATGTAGATGTGCATATTGACAGGAAATTATGATTCAATTATTTTTTCTTACACATATTTTATTTCTCCAATGACAATGTGAGGACGTGGGGTATGTGAGCGCGCTCACTAAGGTTCTTTAATTTTAACTGAATTCAAACCGCAATCATGGCAATTGGTCATATTTTAATTGAGGTAGGTTTTGAAAATTAGTATCAAAATGAAGGCAATAGCGTGTGATTTAAAAAGAATTTTTGTTTCTGTTTGTTGTTAACATATAGGTCATTTTTTATGCCAGCACCAAAGCTGAGGGGGCATCAAGTGTCTGTCTGTATGTGCATCGAAAAAGTGGTTACCGTTTTTAACTTTAGTTTGCCTCGACCAAATGTTTTGAAACTTATACACAATGCTAATTACCACAAAACACTGTTCAGCTTTGAATTTAAATGGCGTCACTTTTACATGTTATATGGAAACATTCTCCATTTATTTATATTATTGCAAATTAGATTTATGAAAAAATAACAAGGATTTTATAAGATTTTCAAACATGGGTTTTTAAACCATATGTAATAAAATTATGAAAAGATAAGAAGGGGTAAGTGGGCAAAATTGTAATGGCACTTCATGGATAAAACAAGAGGATTCTGAATATCTGGCAAAAAGTAAAAAAAAAAAAAAGAGCGACCATCTTTAAGTATTAATGTGTTTACGACACTTAGACAAAGACTATAACCATATATCCCCTGTGGTGCAAAGTAGACAAAAAGAACTTCTGACCAATCTCTTAAAACTATCAAGCCTAATGCACATTATATTCCTCTCAATTTTTATTTTTTTAGATGAAAATAAAATTTGTTTTCAACAGAGTATATACCTACTCATTTATGAGAAGTATTAGACCACAAAGTTTTACTCCCCATCCATGAAAACAGTCACTGTAATAACCTAAAAAGGAATTAAAATTGATGCAAATTATATATTTTACGAAAGTGTTAAATTGTCAGCCAAAAAATTAGTTTTCTGACTTAAGATTTCGCATAGCATCAAAACCAGTTTAATATCTATAAAACCGGAAAAAAAAACATGTTTTGATTTTGTTTTAACATTAATTTTTTTCTCAATAATCTATGAGTTATCTCCCATTGAATGACACATTCTTGCTGTTTGTTGTACTAGTCTCCTCCTGAAGGTAAAATCTATCTCAGAATTTACTTTTCAAATGATATATTATTTTATTCATGTTACTGGAAACCAAATATCAAACTGATAAAATAACTTTCTTGGTACTTTGAATGTGGAAAATAAATGTTTTTTGTCGTATTTTCATACAATTCTATGAAGGTTTGACAAAGTAATTGATAACTAATATTTTAACCTTAAAATTATCTTAGTGAAAACTTTGAAAAAAGTCCATTTATTGCATCTGTGCAATGAAGGACTGATTTCCAAGTTAAATACAAATTGATAATTCCCCTTCTCTGATTTTATATACAGCAATAATAACTAAATAACTCATACCCTACACACATTTGTTCCTTCAATTTGAATTTCAAAATTTTGCTGTGGATTCTTCTGATGTACAATTACTAAGTTTGATAAAGATTTTGATGTTTGACCATAATACTGAACCTAAATTTGGATGCCTAAAACAAAGTAATGTGAATTGCTATGCCTGGCTTCTGCGACAAAATGTCACAGGCAAAATTCAAGTGCATTTACATAATCTTTAATCGACAAGTTTATAAATCTATGCAATGGTTCTTACCTTAAAAGACAGCTCCAATGACGATTCTAAACAATCCATACTGACAAGCAGTAACTAATGCTAACCTGAAAGTAAAAAGTAAAATGGCAATCAAAATTGTTCAAAACAGAGGCTCTTAAGAGCCTGTGTCGCTCATCTTCATCTTCAACAATAACCACTTCCTGGTAAAAATCTAAGGCAGCTTTTTTGTAAATCTTGACTTGCTGATCAATGGTAAAAATCGTCATTGAAGATCAATAACTCCAATAACTAGTCCTCAGAAGATTTCAGTCATTTGACTTTTGTGCATAAATTGTCTTGCTTTTTTTTGTATTAAAATTTCTCTCCATCTATTTTTATTTTCAAAATAATGGATAAAAATGAAAAAAAATTGTAAAACTTTACATTTAAGGGCAATAACTCCTTTAAGAATGTCTGACAGTTTTGACGTAATTGTACAGGAGGTAGATCTCAACATTCTGAACATTTCTTCATTTTCGTTGATTGAGGAACAATTGTATTTTTGTGGGTTTTGATAAAGTTGGCATACAAGCCTATAGAAAATTTGATTGATTGATTGATTGTTGGTTGCTTAACGTCCAGTGGCAAATATTTCATGCATATTCAGGACGAGAACAAGTTCACAATAAATACAATAGGTAGGTTCTGTAATAGATTAAGGGATTAAGGTCGGAGAAATTTAGACTGCCACGGGAAATGAGGGTATATTGGATAGGGACAGAAATTTAGCCTTGCAACAGGTCACCTACGGACCCCTCAAAGAGTTGTTGCAAGGGTTCTTAACGTGCAAAGAGCGTGGCACTCTCTTTACACGAGGCATCGGATTTAACGTCCCCATTCTGACCGGACGTGGCTGCAAATTTGTACATCCCGCACAGCCAAACGGACGCCCCACTTTAGCACGGGTTTTACTGCCGGTCGGAGGAAGACCAATGGTGACCATACTTCTATTCCCCAGTCACCCTTGGGGGGTAGAAAATTTGTACTACATTGAACATTTATATATGTTGGTCACTTTTATATCCACGAAAATTGGTATCCAAAGAATGATAATAAATTCAGAGTACTAGTATATGGAAATAGGTTATATATGACATAAACTGTTAACACAGATATGTCTCGCCTATTTGTTATTTTGATAATGCAAATGATGAAATTAAAATAGCAATACATTATCATGTAAGTTATGCAAATATCCAAAGTTAATGAACCATGACTGAAGGTACAGGGCTAAACAATCTCCATGGAATTGAGATGTGCCAATGTTAATACAAATGCAAACCAAATACCATTGACTTCATAAGTCGTTCCCTTTAAACAAACCTAAACACAAACATTAACTAGTCCGAGTACATAGTTATCGTCCTTCCTTGTCCACGAATATAGTCCCTAGTGTGGACAGTGTGTTACTTGCCAATTTTTTTATACCCCTTCCAAATTTATTTCTCCATGTTTTATGACTCAAATAGCAAGTAGGGGGTGAAATGACACTGTAAAAAATTTTGGTTATGAATTTTAAAGTAAAGTAGTGATTTGGTCCAGCTGAAATTTTTTAAAAATTAGCACTTCGGAAGCTGTCAAAAGATTTGAAGACCCCCTTAACATAAAATTGTCCATATTTTGAGTTAGAGCCGATGAGGTTTTCTATAATTTTGATATAATTTGTCCCAAAAGTAGTACAACACACTAAAAATATTATTGATAAAGCGCAGGTGGGATTTTTTTAATTTTCATTTATTGTCTAAAAGAAATGCACTACGAAATAACTGTGTACTTGGACCAACTTGTAAACTATGTAAAAGTTTCAAAGTCAATGAACCATAATTAGGGGGGTGGGGTTATATAATCTCCATTGAAATGAAACTTGCAAATGCCAATACAATTGCATACCGAATATCATTGACTTAACATAAGTGGTTAATCTTAAACTGACCTAATCACAAACTAATACATGTAAACTTAGCAAAAGTTTCAAAGTCAATAGACAATGACTGAGGGGTAGGGACCAAATGTTGTCCATGGAAATGAGATATGCCAATGCTTATACAACTGCATACCAAATATCATTGACCTACCACTAGTGGTTCCCCATAAACTGACCTAATTACAAACTAATACATGTAAACTAAGCAAAGTTTCAAAGTCAATAGACCTTGACTGAGGGGGCGGGGCCAAATAATCTCCATGATAATGAGATGTGCCAATGCTAATACAACTGCATACCAAATATCATTGACCTACCACTAGTGGTTCACCATGAACTAGACCTAATCACAAACTAATACATTGTTGACCCTGCCGCCGCGGGAAACAGCATACCTATATCTCGCTTTTAGACTCTGTCAAGGCGCGACAAAAGTGAGTAACAGAAGATGAGTTATATACATCAATGTGACAACATCCCAACAACACAAAAATATGACATCCACAGAATTAATTAAAATCTTTAAAACATACGGTCAAATTTTGGTACTGATATGAAAAAACAAACTTCTGACCTCTTACATCTTCAAGCATAGAGCATATTTTATTTCCTATAAACTTATTTTATGATGAAAATAAAACATGTTTAAATAGAGGAATTATATACCTACTTCAATATTAGAAATATTATACCACCAAGTCTTACTCCCATCCATTTAAACACTGAAATCACCTAGAAAGGAATTAAAATTGACATAAATTATACATTTTACAAATCTTGTTGAAAATGCCAGCCTAAAATTTTCAATGAGTAATCTCCCAATGAATGAAACAGTCTTGCTGTTTGTTGTACTAGTCTCCCCTTGAAGGAAAAATTGTCTCTGAATTTTACTTTTCATGATTTGAAAGCTTTATTCATGCGCATGTTCCTGGAAACCATATATTGAATTGATAAATTCTTTTTTTTTTTGTGTTGTAAATGTGAAAGATAAGAAAATGGTTGTTGCCTTGTGTACTTTTATCACATATTTTTAGAGAATATACAGAAATTGTATTGCCTAATTGTACTTACATTATTTCTTTGATGGCCACACATCAGACTTGGAAGATTATCAATGAAATAATCTTTCTAAGAGCTGCTGTCCTTGCTAATCTTTATTTTTTTCATGGCAGAGCCTCAGAGTTAGTTGATTTAAGATCTATGTTACCATTTTCCTTGGAACTACTTATTATATCCCTGCTGCTTTATTTTTTTTTCATTCTGCATGTAGATGGAAATCAGATAGCTATTGTATATATGTAAAACTCAGAAATAACCTAAAAAGGAATTAAAATAGACATAAATTATACATTTTACAAATCTTGTTGAAATTGCCAGCCTAAAATTTTCAATGAGTAATCTCCCAATGAATAAAACAGTCTTGCCGTTTGTTGTACTAGTCTCCCCTTGAAGGAAAAATTCTCTCTGAATTTTACTTTTCGTGATTTGAAAGCTTTATTCATGTTCCTGGAAACCATATATTGAATTGATAAATTCTTTTTTTTTGTGTGTTGTAAATGTGGAAAATAAGAAAACAGATATTGCCTTCTGTACTTTTATCACATATTTTTAGAGAATATACAGAAATTGTATTGCCTAATTGTACTTACATTATTTCTTTAATGGCTACACATCAGACTTGGAAGATTATCAATGTAATAATCTTTCTTAGAGCTGCTGTCCTTGCTTCTTTATTTTTTTCATGGCAGAGCCTCAGAGTTAGTTGATTTAAGATCTATGTTACCATTTTCCTTGGAACTACTATCCCTGCTGCTTTATTTTTTTTTCTTTCTGCATGTAGATGGAAATCAGATAGTTATTGTATATATGTAAAACTCAGAAATAACCTAAAAAGGAATTAAAATAGACATAAATTATACATTTTACAAATCTTGTTGAAATTGCCAGCCTAAAATTTTCAATGAGTAATCTCCCAATGAATGAAACAGTCTTGCCGTTTGTTGTACTAGTCTCCCCTTGAAGGAAAAATTCTCTCTGAATTTTACTTTTCGTGATTTGAAAGCTTTATTCATGTTCCTGGAAACCATATATTGAATTGATAAATTCTTTTTTTTTGTGTGTTGTAAATGTGGAAAATAAGAAAACAGATATTGCCTTCTGTACTTTTATCACATATTTTTAGAGAATATACAGAAATTGTATTGCCTAATTGTACTTACATTATTTCTTTAATGGCTACACATCAGACTTGGAAGATTATCAATGTAATAATCTTTCTTAGAGCTGCTGTCCTTGCTAATCTTTATTTTTTTCATGGCAGAGCCTCAGAGTTAGTTGATTTAAGATCTATGTTACCATTTTCCTTGGAACTACTTATTATATCCCTGCTGCTTTATTTTTTTTTCATTCTGCATGTAGATGGAAATCAGATAGTTATTGTATATATGTAAAACTCAGAAATAACCTAAAAAGGAATTAAAATAGACATAAATTATACATTTTACAAATCTTGTTGAAATTGCCAGCCTAAAATTTTCAATGAGTAATCTCCCAATGAATAAAACAGTCTTGCCGTTTGTTGTACTAGTCTCCCCTTGAAGGAAAAATTCTCTCTGAATTTTACTTTTCGTGATTTGAAAGCTTTATTCATGTTCCTGGAAACCATATATTGAATTGATAAATTCTTTTTTTTTGTGTGTTGTAAATGTGGAAAATAAGAAAACAGATATTGCCTTCTGTACTTTTATCACATATTTTTAGAGAATATACAGAAATTGTATTGCCTAATTGTACTTACATTATTTCTTTAATGGCTACACATCAGACTTGGAAGATTATCAATGTAATAATCTTTCTTAGAGCTGCTGTCCTTGCTTCTTTATTTTTTTCATGGCAGAGCCTCAGAGTTAGTTGATTTAAGATCTATGTTACCATTTTCCTTGGAACTACTATCCCTGCTGCTTTATTTTTTTTTCTTTCTGCATGTAGATGGAAATCAGATAGTTATTGTATATATGTAAAACTCAGAAATAACCTAAAAAGGAATTAAAATAGACATAAATTATACATTTTACAAATCTTGTTGAAATTGCCAGCCTAAAATTTTCAATGAGTAATCTCCCAATGAATGAAACAGTCTTGCCGTTTGTTGTACTAGTCTCCCCTTGAAGGAAAAATTCTCTCTGAATTTTACTTTTCGTGATTTGAAAGCTTTATTCATGTTCCTGGAAACCATATATTGAATTGATAAATTCTTTTTTTTTGTGTGTTGTAAATGTGGAAAATAAGAAAACAGATATTGCCTTCTGTACTTTTATCACATATTTTTAGAGAATATACAGAAATTGTATTGCCTAATTGTACTTACATTATTTCTTTAATGGCTACACATCAGACTTGGAAGATTATCAATGTAATAATCTTTCTTAGAGCTGCTGTCCTTGCTAATCTTTATTTTTTTCATGGCAGAGCCTCAGAGTTAGTTGATTTAAGATCTATGTTACCATTTTCCTTGGAACTACTTATTATATCCCTGCTGCTTTATTTTTTTTTCATTCTGCATGTAGATGGAAATCAGATAGTTATTGTATATATGTAAAACTCAGAAATAACCTAAAAAGGAATTAAAATAGACATAAATTATACATTTTACAAATCTTGTTGAAATTGCCAGCCTAAAATTTTCAATGAGTAATCTCTCAATGAATAAAACAGTCTTGCCATTTGTTGTACTAGTCTCCCCTTGAAGGAAAAAATTCTCTCTGAATTTTACTTTTCGTGATTTGAAAGCTTTATTCATGTTCCTGGAAACCATATATTGAATTGATAAATTCTTTTTTTTTGTGTGTTGTAAATGTGGAAAATAAGAAAACAGATATTACCTTCTGTACTTTTATCACATATTTTTAGAGAATATACAGAAATTGTATTGCCTAATTGTACTTACATTATTTCTTTAATGGCTACACATCAGACTTGGAAGATTATCAATGTAATAATCTTTCTTAGAGCTGCTGTCCTTGCTTCTTTATTTTTTTCATGGCAGAGCCTCAGAGTTAGTTGAAGATCTATATGTTACCATTTTCCTTGGAACTGCTTTGTTTTGTTTTTTCACTCTGCATGTAGATGGAAATCAGATAGTTATTGTATATATGTACCAATCAGAAACGTGTCTGATTCCCCCAAACGTGTCCATATGACGTCAATGAACTGCAAAATATGACTTGTTGCTAAAGTTTATCAAAACGTGTTCTGTTTATGTAGCTCCAACGTATCCAGTCTATATGGAACCAAAGGGTTCTTTTAAAAAGCCCAGAAACAACTTCTGCAGGAAGCCTGTCGTGCAATTACCCTCATACATTATAAAGATATTTAGGCATCACCAGAGTATATTAGTACAAAATAATTCACTAAGTAAACGATGATTTACACTGTTCAAAACTAGTTAATTGCGTTTTCTGTGTAATTGTTTGCTCTAAATATGCTTGAAATATTTGCCACTGACATTAAGCAATCAACAGTCAATAGTTAAATTAAGCTTGCAATAATGCTTGATATAAACAACCGGCATTGGACAAATTAATGCTAATAAATGACCACTGTATTAACAGTGAAGCACTGGGAAAACATGCAATATAAATTGTATTAGATTTCTTAATTATGAAGTACCTCCAACTGTAATTTAAAACAATGACAATTTTATTGATAAAAAATTAATAAACCACTGTAAGTAAAAATAGCTTATTTTGTCATCCTTTTTCTTACACTGTGTCTGTTTATTTGAAAGCAGAAGTCCCTGTGCACATTGTACCATATCTTGGATATTTGTCTATGCAGATTACTATATCTTTCCTCCAGATGTCCTTAGTTAGCTGCTTCGATTTATTTTTAGAATCCAACCCAAACACAACGTCTTCTATCATGTCCCCCATCATTGTATTGCCATAAACTTCACAGGAGACATATAAGCGCTAAAAGTTTTGAGACGTTCTGGTGCTTTAAACTGGACACGTTTTGGCGAATAACAATTATTAGACACGTTTGGGGGAGTGAAATCGGTCACGTATGCGCGATTTAAGATTCTAAGGACACGTTTTAGGGAATCAGACATGTTTGGGGGGATGGAAACGTTTGGGAGTGTTACATATATATCATGATTTCTTCAACTACTCTTAAATATGTTCACCAAAGTTAAACTGAATCTTGAACAGTTTGTACATTTACAATTTAACTTTTTTAAATATTACTTTTGCACATATGCAGTTTTAGTTGTTAATTCTACAGGTCTTTGAAGCATTTCATATTAGTGTTGATATATCAAAGGACAGATGGGCATCTCACATCATCCTTTGGGCTCTCCTTAATTCTCATCTGAGTTTTTGGACATTTAAGAAATTTTATTGTCTGGATTTATAAACCAAATTATTTTTATTCCCCCAAGTATTCTGTTGTCTGGTCACTATCTTCAGTTCCAACTTTTTTGGCTGCCATATCTAAAGCTATAGGGAGCCATGCTGTGTTCCTTTGAATTGAAAGGTGTGTCACGGTCTTTGAAGTTTGCTCCTTATGAATGGCTAATAAACTTTTAGGCCACAAACGGTCAAAATTTTTACACAGATGAGACGACTCAAAAAAAACCCAAAATAATCAACTTTTTCGACAAATTGCACAGACTGTAAGCTTACATGATTTTACTTCTTTCAGTCTTTCTTACATCACAGAGTACTAGAATATCCTACCACAGAGTAAGTTACCTATCGAAAAGTTCCATACTCTCTAATCAATTCGGTAACATGAAAATAGATTATAACAATACATTTTTATTTAAGAATGTATCATTAGAATATTAATTTGAAAGCTATAAATATTAAACCCAGTTGTGATTAAAAAACCAAGCAATTTTCCCAGGGGAAACTGATTTTATTATTACCTTACAAGGTTTAACCTAACTCATCTTCATCTTCTATGTACAATGGAACCATCTTCAAGCTGTACCACTGAAACTTTTCAGGCCTGCATTTGTAACAAAACCAAAAATTATAAAAGAGTGATGTGTTGGATAACTTCTGGCACAAATAATTAACCGTTAATTCAGAAACACTATTGCGAGGTTTTATTCATCTGAATAATGTGACAGGTTGAGTTTTGCAATAATAAGAAACTCCTATTCCGATATCTGTATAAAAACTTTCCTGAAATTCAATAAAATAATCTTACTTTTAGTCCATAATGTAAAAATCGCAATAATAAATGCACACAATAATTTCTGAATTTACAGTAGTTTGCTTTGGTAAGAGAAACACAAAAGTATGAATTTGTGATGTGAACAGATTGTAGGATATCTTTATATATATAACTTATGGTATATCTGTATTTGACTTCAGTATTGAAGACAGTTTTCATAATATAATCATTATATCGAAATTAATGTGCGTGTCAAATTATCAGAAATTGGTGGCTAACCAATTCAATCTGATGTATACATTTATGTAGACATCCAAATTGACAATCGGAAACTTTACTTTCATTCAGGTGAGACTATTAGAGAAAGAGTTTCCAAATTGTCAATGTTAAAAGACTATTTGCTGTTAAAATTAATTCAGAAATTAATGTGATGCATGTTTTAATTCAAATCCTAAATTGGAGTACAAGTATACTTTTTTCATTAGAGTATAAATTTGAAAAAGAAATTTTGGACTAATTTGTAATAAATTTTCAAGCAGTTTCTCCAGGGAAAAGTCTGATTTTATCACCTTACAACTATTAACAGTTTAAGTACAATTGTAACGACAAAATACATACATCATCATCTAGGCGTCTACAATTAAATCGTCTCAAGGTCTAGGACTGTATTTTTTCTTCTTCTCTCTTGGCTCCGGTCTATCTGTAAAACATATTCAAAATTATTGTAATATCTATCAGACAACTATTAATAAATGAAAAAAAAATATACTTACTTTCCTATGCATATGTTACCTGTCCTGACGTAAATATCCTGGGGCTGGTATCTGAAACAAAAACAAAATAAGTTCAAAAATATTGAACCAAATATAAAACTTAAAAAATTTGCTACTTTAATTTTTCTTTCTTTCAAAATACCTATAAAGAAAAACTGGCATTAATGGCAGCCATCATCATTGGTCAGTTGCTCTTTTTGACTGTATATCATTAACTTATTTTCATTTTAAATCTATATTTCAATCAGTAATGAAGACGGTTTATTGATATAATCATTATTTCCGAAATTAATGTGCACGTCAAATTATCAGAAGTTGGTGGCTAACCAAAACAATCTGATGTATACATTTTGAACAGAAATGATTAAAATTCAACTGAATTTCAAACAATCTAAATCAAGTCATATTTTCCAAATTACTTTTGAAAAAATTCGTAAGGGTTCAGCGGAACCCAGTGTCTCGCCTACTTTTGCTGTTAATCGCAGGCTCAACAAAAATGAGGAAAAAAATAAATAAAAATATTCCTCTCTATACTATCTTTTGATTGTAAGTAGCTTCTGTCCAAGTTTGGTAAAAATCCAGGATAGTTTATGAATCTAATAAATGTTTTAAAAACTTAAACTGCAGACTGTATGTAATGTTAACTGGAAGAAAAACAAAGTCCATTTATAAGTAAAATACAGAAAAAATCAAAAAAAATTTTAACAAAATTTCCTTCTAGATACTAGCTTTTAATCATAAACAAGCTTCTGTCCAAGTTTGGTACAAATCCAGGATAGTTTAAGAAAGTTGTTAAAATTTTAAAAACTTTAACCACTGATTGAATGTAATGTTAACTGGCAGGAAAACTAAGTCCATTGATAAGTAAAATACGGAAAAAATGGATTTTTTTTTTTACAAAATTTACTTCTGGATACTATCTTATGATCATAAACAAGCTTCTTTCCATGTTTGGTAGAAATCCAGGATAGTTTAAGAAAGTTATTAAAATTTCAAAAACTTTAACCACAGAGTGAATGTAATGTTTCTTGGCAGAAAAACTAAGTCCATTTATAAGTAAAATACGGCAAAAATGGATTTTTTTTTACAAAATTTACTTCTGGATACTATCTTATGATCATAAACAAGCTTCTTTCCAAGTTTGGTAGAAATCCAGGATAGTTTAAGAAAGTTATTAAAATTTCAAAAACTTTAACCACAGAGTGAATGTAATGTTTCTTGGCAGAAAAACTAAGTCCATTTATAAGTAAAATACGGAAAAAATGGAATTTTTTTTTTACAAAATTTACTTTTGAATATTATCTTATGATCATAAACAAGCTTCTGTCAAAGTTTGGTAGAAATCCAGGATAGTTTAAGAAAGTTATTAAAATTTCAAAAACTTTAACCACAGAGTGAATATTTGTGGAAGCCGACGGAATGTAGGATCGCTATGTCTCGCTTTTTCGACAAAAGTCGAAGGCTCGACAAAAATCAACTAAATATGTAGATATCCAAATTGACAATCGGAAACTTTACTTTCGTTCAGGTGAGACTATTAGAGAAAGGGTTTCCAAATTGTCAATGTTAAAAGACTATTTGCTGTTAAAATTAATTCAGAAATTAATGTGATGCATGTTTTAATTCAATTCCTAAATTGGAGTACAAGTATACTCTTTTCATTAGTGTATAAATTTGAAAAAGAAATTTTGGACTAATTTGTAATTATCAAGCAGTTTCTCCAGGGAAAAGTCTGATTTTATCACCTTACAACTATTAACAGTTTAAGTACAATTGTAACGACAAAATACATACATCATCATCTAGGCGTCTATATTAAATCGTCTCAAGGTCTAGGACTGTATTTTTTTCTTCTTCTCTCTTGGCTCCCGTCTATCTGTAAAACATATTCAAAATTATTGTAATATCTATCAGACAACTATTAATAAATGAAAAAAAAATATACTTACTTTCCGATGCATATGTTACCTGTCCTGACGTAAATATCCTGGGGCTGGTATCTGAAACAAAAACAAAATAAGTTCAAAAATATTGAACCAAATATAAAACTTAAAAAATTTGCTACTTTAATTTTTCCTTCTTTCAAAATACCTATAAAGAAAAACTGGCATTAATGGCAGCCATCATCATTGGTCAATTGCTCTTTTTGACTGTATATCATTAACTTATTTTCATTTTAAATCTATATTTCAATCAGTAATGAAGACGGTTTATTGATATAATCATTATTTCCGAAATTAATGTGCACGACAAATTATCAGAAGTTGGTGGCTAACCAAAACAATCTGATGTATACATTTTGAACAGAAATGATTAAAATTCAACTGAATTTCAAACAATCTAAATCAAGTCACATTTTCCAAATTACTTTTTAAAAAATCAACTAAATATGTAGATATCCAAATTGACAATCGGAAACTTTACTTTCGTTCAGGTGAGACTATTAGAGAAAGGGTTTCCAAATTGTCAATGTTAAAAGACTATTTGCTGTAAAAATTAATTCAGAAATTAATGTGATGCATGTTTTAATTCAAATCCTAAATTGGAGTACAAGTATACTTTTTCATTAGAGTATAAATTTGAAAAAGAAATTTTGGACTAATTTGTAATAAATTTTCAAGCAGTTTCTCCAGGGAAAAGTCTGATTTTATCACCTTACAACTATTAACAGTTTAAGTACAATTGTAACGACAAAATACATACATCATCATCTAGGCGTCTACAATTAAATCGTCTCAATGTCTAGGACTGTATTTTTTTCTTCTTCTCTCTTGGCTCCCGTCTATCTGTAAAACATATTCAAAATTATTGTAATATCTATCAGACAACTATTAATGAATGAAAAAAAATATACTTACTTTCCGATGCATATGTTACCTGTCCTGACGTAAATATCCTGGGGCTGGTATCTGAAACAAAAACAAAATAAGTTCAAAAGTATTGAACCAAATATAAAACTTAAAAAATTTGCTACTTTAATTTTTTTTTCTTTCAAAATACCTATAAAGAAAAACTGGCATTAATGGCAGCCATCATCATTGGTCAATTGCTCTTTTTGACTGTATATCATTAACTTATTTTCATTTTAAATCTATATTTCAATCAGTAATGAAGACGGTTTATTGATATAATCATTATTTCCGAAATTAATGTGCACGTCAAATTATCAGAAGTTGGTGGCTAACCAAAACAATCTGATGTATACATTTTGAACAGAAATGATTAAAATTCAACTGAATTTCAAACAATCTAAATCAAGTCATATTTTCCAAATTACTTTTTAAAAAATCAACTTAATATGTAGATATCCAAATTGACAATTGGAAACTTTACTTTCGTTCAGGTGAGACTATTAGAGAAAGGGTTTCCAAATTGTCAATGTTAAAAGACTATTTGCTGTAAAAATTAATTCAGAAATTAATGTGATGCATGTTTTAATTCAAATCCTAAATTGGAGTACAAGTATACTTTTTCATTAGAGTATAAATTTGAAAAAGAAATTTTGGACTAATTTGTAATAAATTTTCAAGCAGTTTCTCCAGGGAAAAGTCTGATTTTATCACCTTACAACTATTAACAGTTTAAGTACAATTGTAACGACAAAATACATACATCATCATCTAGGCGTCTACAATTAAATCGTCTCAATGTCTAGGACTGTATTTTTTTCTTCTTCTCTCTTGGCTCCCGTCTATCTGTAAAACATATTCAAAATTATTGTAATATCTATCAGACAACTATTAATAAATGAAAAAAAAAATATACTTACTTTCCGATGCATATGTTACCTGTCCTGACGTAAATATCCTGGGGCTGGTATCTGAAACAAAAACAAAATAAGTTCAAAAGTATTGAACCAAATATAAAACTTAAAAAATTTGCTACTTTAATTTTTTTTTCTTTCAAAATACCTATAAAGAAAAACTGGCATTAATGGCAGCCATCATCATTGGTCAATTGCTCTTTTTGACTGTATATCATTAACTTATTTTCATTTTAAATCTATATTTCAATCAGTAATGAAGACGGTTTATTGATATAATCATTATTTCCGAAATTAATGTGCACGTCAAATTATCAGAAGTTGGTGGCTAACCAAAACAATCTGATGTATACATTTTGAACAGAAATGATTAAAATTCAACTGAATTTCAAACAATCTAAATCAAGTCATATTTTCCAAATTACTTTTTAAAAAATCAACTTAATATGTAGATATCCAAATTGACAATTGGAAACTTTACTTTCGTTCAGGTGAGACTATTAGAGAAAGGGTTTCCAAATTGTCAATGTTAAAAGACTATTTGCTGTAAAAATTAATTCAGAAATTAATGTGATGCATGTTTTAATTCAAATCCTAAATTGGAGTACAAGTATACTTTTTCATTAGAGTATAAATTTGAAAAAGAAATTTTGGACTAATTTGTAATAAATTTTCAAGCAGTTTCTCCAGGGAAAAGTCTGATTTTATCACCTTACAACTATTAACAGTTTAAGTACAATTGTAACGACAAAATACATACATCATCATCTAGGCGTCTACAATTAAATCGTCTCAATGTCTAGGACTGTATTTTTTTCTTCTTCTCTCTTGGCTCCCGTCTATCTGTAAAACATATTCAAAATTATTGTAATATGTATCAGACAACTATTAATAAATGAAAAAAAAAATATACTTACTTTCCGATGCATATGTTACCTGTCCTGACGTAAATATCCTGGGGCTGGTATCTGAAACAAAAACAAAATAAGTTCAAAAGTATTGAACCAAATATAAAACTTAAAAAATTTGCTACTTTAATTTTTCTTTCTTTCAAAATATCTATAAAGAAAAACTGGCATTAATGGCAGCCATCATCATTGGTCAATTGCTCTTTTTGACTGTATATCATTAACTTATTTTCATTTTAAATCTATATTTCAATCAGTAATGAAGACGGTTTATTGATATAATCATTATTTCCGAAATTAATGTGCACGTCAAATTATCAGAAGTTGGTGGCTAACCAAAACAATCTGATGTATACATTTTGAACAGAAATGATTAAAAT